AATGTAAAAATTCATGTAAAACATATTCTATGAATCTACTTAAAATAATACAGAACAACTTATCACCTCTGGTGCTTTAATGGCTTATTGGAACCTTAAAGTATATTAACTAGGTTACAACCCCTGGAACTGTACACAAAGTTACGACACTAACTGCATCAAACAGAACCTGACTAACTTTTTCAACATTTGCCAACCTTGCCTTTCAGGTTTGTTCTAATCAGCAGGTCTCTCTCTAGACAAGCAGCAGCGGTGACAACATTCAGTCTTTTGTTATGAATCATGCTGATTATGATCTTACTTCTCATTTTAACCTATGCCGTTTGACATAAAATCTACCTGATTATTTACTAAACCTCTAGACTAACCAAGTATGTGACAAAATGAGACATAACAAAAATCAACATAAAGCTAACTTTTAGTAAAACGTAAATGTCACTTATCTTCTTTCAAATATGACCAACATTATAAAGTGTAAACTATTTAATGCTACTTGATAAATTGCATAAAGTTTATTTTATTCTCAAACTTATTAACAATTACATTAATTAATTCATGTTTAGCAATAATGCGTACTACTTAGAGATCTATTTTATTTTTAGTATGGTATTGCAAAAAGGGAAATTCAGGCATAGATAATATCTTCAATTGAATTTATTCAGTTCCCTTTTGCTCATAGGTCCTTAATTTTTTTCATTAATGGTCCTTAAAAGTACTTAATTTCCGTGTGCAGAAATGTGTATGAACCCTGATAACAGCATCAATAATAAATTATGTATTTACATATTAGTGCAAATACAGTGGCAATCTCATAAAAAAGAAATGATGGCTTAAAATTGCAAAAAGTTACTTTATTACATACACATGTATTACTGTAAACTTATTTTTTTATTTAATTAGGTATTCATCCTGAAAACAATAAATAAACCCACTTAGGAGCAAGCTTTTGTTTCTTTTGCTCTGGTGGAGATTCTATGGCAATCAGTTTAAGAAGACATTCGAAACTATTGCTATGTTCACTGTATTTTTGTAGACAGTGTTTACGCATACACTGTATTTCTACAGAAATTTTACTTACCAGTGCCAACAAATTCCCACAAGCACACATTTCAAAACTGAGTTTAAGATGAAAAATATCAAAATTTTTCTGTATAGACTCGCAATTTGGAATACAGTCAAATCTTTAATTCGGACACCCATAATCCGGACCTCAAAGCTACAAACTTTCTGCGCATGCATCGCATTGAGGCACGCGCATAAGACCTTTACGGCTGCGAATTTGCGTGTGCGCAAAATACGTTTACGAATGCGCGTTTAATGTATAATGGACGGTATAAGCTAAGCTAAAATTATCTATTTCAGTTAATGTTGCAGATTGCGTTGTTCCTTAATCTTCGAATTGGATCCAAATTATTATTTTTTTCAGACTGTTAAAGCAATATTATAAAAGTAAGCTTGAACTTTCGATTATGTCAAATAGAATTTCCGATATATATTTACTAATATGTAAAAGATCTACAAAGCAAAAGTATGTTTCGGAGTCCATTAAACAAAACGTGGAATTGCTGCAAAAAATAAAGGCATATCCTTTGTTTATCTAAACTTTGTTTATCTTTAACGCCGTGGCGCGCAATGAATTGGAAGTTGATCCGTCAGCACTATCCTTATCTTCAGGGCAGATGTTTTTATATTATTTGGCTTATAATTGCTTACTAAATGTAGTACGGTGAAACACCGAAATTTCATCTCAATGTACTCCGTCTTTGATATGATTTAAATCAAATGCCTCGTCATTATAATTCGCTTCCGATAGCGAAGAAAGTGACAGAGGTTATTGAAAAAAAACGAAAAATTTCGATTTCAAATTAGTCGGTATTCTCGACACACAGCAATTATAGGACTTGAACAGTGGAACTTTGTAACTGAACAAGAAACTATGTTTGTTTATAGAATTAAAGAAATGAATTATCACATAAGCACAACGAAGCAACTTAACAACTTACATTGATAGAAATGTTTAATAAAGTAAACAAATAAATATTAAGCTCTTTTTTTTTTTTTTTGTAAATTTTGATACCCTTTAGATCATAATTGTTCTTTATTTCGTAAATTACGGTTTCATATTTTTAATTTTATAATTTCTGCATGCCATTTTACCATATTTAAACTGATGATCTATAATCCGGAATCGCCAAAGTCCCGACGAGTCTGGATTAACGACTTTTGACTGTATTACAATAAAACACACGAATATGGTGGCATTAGTTGTTAAAAAAAAATTTAAGAATTAGATGCATGATTGTCCGAGTTTGGCACATCATGAAACTTTAGCAATTTCTGTCAAGATGACTGGAATGATACATAAGTACCATAAATTATATTATATATTTTTAAAAGAAAATTAAATTATACTTGATGGATGGGATGATGGAACAGTTACATTTCTAAAGAGAATCTTAAACAGCTCACTAACAGGTGGAAAGGAAGAGATGTACGTTGATACGATTGTATCAAGTATTAAAAGCTATTACTATATTTTGTGCAAGACTTAAATATATTAAGCACAATCACTGGCTACTATTAAAAACATGAATATTTTATTATTTTAAACAGCTGAAGTGTACTTTTTTTTTCTGAACTTCCCTGACAATTTGAAAAAGAAGTATATATGTTACCATGAAAAACCGAAATTGGAGAATGTCGACTTTCACCGGAGAATATCAACATTCACCAAATATGTCGGTAAAAGACCGAATATTTCACTACATTCTTGTATATTCGGACCCTCACCGGTGTATGTCGACAATCACAGATATGCTCTGGTGAAAGTCGAAAAGAGAGGTCATAAAATGCCTTAATAGTTTAAGTTGTTGCAATAAATAAGATCTGAATCACATAATTTAGTAAGTTTTTTATTACTGTTATTTTATTTTCTCATTTAGAATGTACTGTATAATTAAGTAAGTTTTTAACTTCTATTATTTTCTTTCCTCATTTTGAATGTATTGTGTGTTTTTATTTCAAGTCTCAAGTGCGTTTATTCGCGACTGAATTACGGAGAAGAAAATATAATATTGTTATATGTTCAACATTCACCATTAGTACATGGTGAATGTCGACATTGACTGGTGTAAGTCAGAAATAAGAGTATTTCGAAAATATTTCGGACATACACCAAGAGACTATGTGAATGTTGACATTCACCGGTGAAAGTCGACATTCTCCAGATTTCGGTGTTTCACCGTAACATATATATTATCAATTTTTGATGACCATTTTCCCCTTCATTTGACTTTCCAAGTGGGAATCTCGTCAAGTATGTTCTGACATTAAAAGTCTGCAGCCAAAATTCAATATGCCAAAACTAAAGGGACTGAGAGAAAATGAGTAACCAAAAATTCTATTTATTGTAAAAAATTAACATTAATTTTAAATTCCACTTTTAGACTTGTTAAAGCTAGCATAACTGAAATTCTGCTGGAGTATACTCCTGTTTTGCAGGAATGGTTACTTAGGTTGGAAAAATAATAAAGTTCCATCCACTACGTTTGTAACTCCATTATTTTTAGGAACTGAATGTTGTTTTTTCATTCACAAAACATAAAATATGCTCGGCACTAAAATGAGATTTAAGGTTACACTGAAAAACAGAATAAAATTTTAATTTAATCTGCAATATTAGATAATGATTTTTAATTCTATTTATACCAGAAATGCAAATTAGGTGCAGTTTAAGTAGTGAGAAAAGTTAAAACAGAGAACATGCAATTTGGTCAATAATTCTGTAACTCTCATAACTCGCTTGCCTAGATAACTGTGCTGGTTTTGAATCTTTTGCTCTTATTTGCATTTAGAAGTTATGCTTAATTAAGAATTGGACTACTAAGTATTTGATTTGCTACACATATTTAACTCAAACACCACCAGATCTACAAGCAATGAGATTTAGTTTGTTATTTTTTTGTTTGCAATCTATAAAATGTTGCCCCAAAAAACAAGAAGATTTTTTTAAAATCTCTTGTTGTATGAAATTAGTACTTTTGGTTAGGTTATGTGATTTGAGTATGACAAAGCTAAGAGAGGTACTGCCTACGAGGTGGGATGCCTGTGGAGAACGTTCTTTAGGAAATTAGCTTATATTCACATTACACATGGAAAAAACCATGAAAATCAACCATGCAGCCAGTCCATTCACTTGGAATCTAAACAAAGCCATGTTGAATGAAATGCATTCAATAGTCTTTAAATCAGCCACTCAAGGGACCTAATACATTTGGATTTAAGTTAAAACTAAGGTTGGTAGACTGATTGTAATCTAGTATATTAAAATAAATATGTACTAAGAATGAATTAGGAATAACTTTACAGCTTTTACCAATGTCAAAAATGCTTATTTTGAGAAAGTCCATTTTGAAAAAGTAAAGCCAATTTGAAATATATAAATACTGCTTCATTTTTTAAAAATATTTTCTTGAAGTATTCAAAACTTCTATTCTGAGGAATGTAAACATCCATTAAATGCTGTAAGCTTTTAATCTTATATACATTAGTGATAACAATAAATAAAAACCTATTACACAAATACGCATTAATTTTGAATTTAAACATATTTCGCAATCATTTTAGCAAACAGAAAAGAAACACTACTAAATGAATAGGTGCAAAACTTTTTCAGGAAACAAGTTTCAAGAATCTGAAATCATTTAGAAAAATAATGCTCATTTCAAATATACTAATTTTTTTTCCCAAAATAATTTTATACGAAATTTCAAATTTTTTTTAAATCTTAAAATAAAGCATCATTTTCAAATCATGACAAAGCACGAGGGGTTTTCAAGGGGAGGGGGGAGGAAGAAACTCATCACAAGTCATGCAAGAATTTTGCAATAAATACTGCAATTTAGAGTATTTGTACAAATGAATAAAAAAGATATTTTAATTGTATATTAAAACATATTTCTAATTAATATGTATGTTAGAAAGAAAGAAATAGACATCAGTGTATATAAACCAATTTTAATTCTTTGTTACTTTTAGGGTCTCGAAATTATTCTACAGCAGAGTTTATTAGAATTGGATACATTCAATATGCTTATAAATTTTAATTAATGATATTTAACGAGCTTGAGAAAGAACTTTCAAATCTTCTATACATTTTTGAAGAGCTTCCTTTTCCTGTAAAAAATATACATAAGAATTAAGAAATAAATATACACTGAAAAAATTTTGTTCATATGATTTATTTCTGAAATGTTAATTTAATAAATATTCAGATTTTGTCCCCCCCCCAAAAAAAATTGAAATTTTATATTAGCAATTCATTCAAATATATATATATTCAGTATCTCATCTTTGAAAAGCAGCTTATATAAACTAAAAAAAATCTATAGGAAATTGTTACTAATTTTATTTTAAACATTTAATGAGAAGAATGAATACATTTTTGCAGTTTCATGGCAGTCAAAACTAGTTTCATGGGAGGACAAAAATGAAATATTTGCATGACTTACTTGTTTAATTTTGTTACATATATTAAAAAAAACTTTTTTTAATCCCTGAGTGGCATGGCTTTTTGAATCTTCTCACAAAAACCTAAATTCACACAGCATTTATTAGCTAAATTTGTACAATTACTTATTTTAGTCTCTAGTTTCATAAATTTTCATTAAATGAAGTAATTAATGTTTCACTAAAGCAAGATATTTAAAATTAAAAGATAATACAAGTGACAAAAATATAACAACTGAATAAAAGCGGTCATCCCCTCAAATGGTTTAATGTCTTTTTTTTTTTTTTTTTTTGAAGCATTAAGAACTATGCATCAGCAACCTTTTTTTTTTTTGCCTACAGATCAAAATCAACCAAAGTGTATGTATTAAGAAGACGTTTGGGGTCAATGGATATTTTCATTTTAGAACAGTCATTCTGGTGAATAATAAGATAAATTTGAGAAAATAATTACAGTACACTTTAAACTTAAAAAATAAAAATAATTATAAAAGCAAACATAATTGAATGAATTTTTTCTCTTCAATATCAATGACTCCTCTGATACTGAACTTCTGATGTCAATTTCATCAGTTATTTGTTTTAAGACGAATTCGAGCATCTGAACTTTTGAGTAGTCAAGAACTTCTGGTTTTATTTCAAAATATTTCATGTGTGAAAATATTTGCTCATGTTTATAGGTTGAGCCAAATGCAGATAAAGTGGCAAAGCCATTATTTTGGCATTATAGATTACAGCTCGGTGTTGCCAAACTTATCAATTTCTCTTTAAAACTACATTACAATTTTTATTTTTTAAAAATAAAAATGAATGTTTATTGCTGCAACTTTGTAATAAAACAAAAATGCTCATTATTTATTTTCAATTAATTTTTTTATATCTTATTCAAGTACTCATTTCATATTTATGTTTTATAATTTATTTTTAGAACTTACGTGAACCACTTGAAATTATGAAATGGGTCACCTGGTGACCGGTTGTTGAGGTCTACATTAGACTGCAATCTGAAGTTATATATTTTTGTTATACATTGGCTTTTATTTTGCAGTTACTTATTTTTTGTTTTGCACCTTATTTACTTTTTATTGCTATACTGAACCCCTAACTTGCTAAACTTATTATCTCATTTGAAAATATGATTTCTAATTAGCATACACGTAAAAACTAACTTTCAACCAAATCAGTATATACACAAAACCATCTTTTTTATTTCTTCCTTTTTGAATTTTTTTATTATTAATAATTTTAAATGAGATTAAGAAAAAAATCTCTTATTAGAAAGAAGCATAACTTATTAGAAATAAAATTCAAAATGAGGGAACTTCACAAATATTTTTCATGTTCACACAGATGAGCCAAGACAATATGAATGAAAATAATAGATATTTTTTCCAGAAGCGTTAACAACATACAGGCTGAGATGGTATAAAATTTCAGAGCTATTTGCCTATAAAGGAAATATTATTCTTAAATTGTAGCTATAAATGACTATCATTAATTCCAACGTTTTTTAAAATCAAATTAGTCTTCTCTTTTACCTGCTGGGGAGTTATACTTTTAATAACACTGTTCACAATCCAATCAACCATATGTTTCTGTTCAAATTTCCGTCGAGCATTGTACAATTCAAGTTGATAATCCTGAAAATTTAAGTACGAACAGATAAGTAAATACTTATTTATTTATTTAAAAAAGTATACAGTGAAAATACATAAAAATACTATCTTAATTAATCAACATTCTTCCATTCACATATACGAGGCATTTGTAGAAGTTTAACATGAAATTCACATGAAACAGAAATGTAACAAACACTCAACATGAGAGATGGAAATTTATTAAGAGTTACCAAAGCTTTCTAAATTCAATAATTTTATTTTTAGTTTTTTCTTTTATCTTCCAAAGTGTTTGTAAGCCTTACTACATACTAATTTAACCTTTCTCTTTCTATTCTAACAAATAGAATTTAAAAAAATTTTTACATATGTACAGAATGCATCTACACAGTTATGACCGAGTTTGTACAAAATTAATTATATCGGTTTGATTCCTTAACCTTACGTATATACCGTATTTTCCGGCGTAAAAAGTGCACCCAATTCTTCACAAAGAAACCTAAAAGACACATGTGCAATGAATGCGCTTTTCTTTTGAGGTCACTTACTCGAAGATTTGTCTTAGTCTTTCAAATAATCGTATACCGAATTGACAAGCGATAAGGGGAACAATATGTGTGTGGGTTAAATATTCCCGCAAAGAGGGTGGATTGTATTCAATGCAGCTGTGCACAAGAGTGTTTTACTAGGGTTTCGAGAAGAAGGGGATATAATCTGGATTAAGAATGCACTTCCAAACTGAATGAATTTGTGGAATTAGGAGTTAAATGTTTTCTCTTTCTCTATCTGAATCTGATGTTCAAGTGAACATTGCTTTAGTTGAAATACCGCTGATTTAGTATTCCTTTTCTATAGTAAATCACATTTGCTTTAGTTGAAATGCAGCTATAAATATAGTAAATCACATTTGCTTTAATTGAAATACAGCTGATTTAGTATTCTTTTTAGTAGTAAATATGGCTCTCATGAAAAGAAACAAACACACTGCTGGTTTCAAATGCAAAGCCATTTAGTGAAAGAAAATGGAAATCATGCTACAGCAAGGATGTTCAGTGTTGGTGAAAGCTTTATACATGAGTGAAAGAAAAATGAAATTACAATAATTAATGTGCCAAAGAATAAATGCGCTTTGCAGAAAGTAATAAAATGGCATTTCCTAGAAGAAAGTGTTGTGAACTGGGTCCTAGAAAAGCACCAAAATGGATTAATTATATCAAGAAACAGTACATATTTACTTGCCTTAAAGTGGGCCAAAAAGAATGCAAATGAAACTGAAAATTTTAAACAACTTTGAGTTGGTGTAGCAGGTTTATGGCATGGAATAATTTAGTTCTGTGAGAAATAATAAAAGATTCACAAAGGTTTCCAAAAGATCTGGATAATAAATTGATTAGTTTCCAGAAGTATATTATTGTCCCATGAAAGGCCCCCCCCCAAAAAAAAGATTTATTGTCAGTTATTGGAAATATGGATGAAACTCCAGTAATGTTTGATATAAGAAATAAAACAATTGATGTGAAAGCAACAAAAACGGTTCACATAAAAACAAGTCATGAAAGTTCTCACTTCACTGTAATGCTTTCCTGCTTAGCGGAGGGTTTAAAATTGAAACTCATGATTCTTTTTAAAAGACAATGCCAAAATGTAATTTCCCAAATGGTGTTTTAATTCATGTTCACAAGAAAGGGTGGATGGACAAAAACAGAAATGTTTGACAAAAGCATCCTTTTCCCTTAAAGAATCCAGAAAAACTTTTAGTCTGGGACATGTTCAGATCTCATCTAATAGATAATACGAGGGTAAGTTGAAAAATAAGTTTCCCCTGTCGACTGTGGTCAGAGTTGTGTATGAAAGCCAAAAAATAGAATGAGACATTAAAGATATGACATACCTTTATTTACATAGGTACCAAGTACATTGAGACATTTGTCATATCGCTTGATAAGCTTCAAAAAGCCCTCCAGGAAAAAATCAGGGGTTTGCATATGGAAGAAGCGTTGAACAGCTTGTTTCACTTCAGTATTGCTTCCAAAGCGCCTTCCCCCGAGATTTTTCTTCAAAGCCGGAAACAGATGGAAGTCGCTTGGTGCGAGATCAGGACTGTATGGCGGATGGTGTAGGTGCTTCCAACCAAGAGTTGCAATATATGGTTGTCTGGCATTGTCATCCAACAGCAGAATGCCAGATGTGAGAAGGCCAGGCCACTTTTTCTGAATCACCTCTTTCAATTTCGACAGGGTGTCACAGTAGCGCATAGCACTGATGGTTCCAACCTCCAAAAAGTCCAGCAGCAAAACTCCTTGGGCGTCCCAGAAAACTGTGAGGAGCACTTTACCTGCACAGGGAGTTGTCTTGAACTTCTTTCGGACAGGTGATGACGGATTTCCACTCCATAGATGCGGCCTTCGATTCTGGCGTGAAATGGTGGACCCACGTTTCATCCCTTGTCACAATCCGAAACAGAAAGTCATTGCCATCTTCATGGTAACACACGAGATGTTCCAGGCTGACCCCCATGCGTGTTCCTTGTTGTCGAGGTCAATTGTCGGGGCCTCATCGTGCTGACACTTTTCTGTATCGAAGAATGTTGTGGATGATGTTTTGAGCTCGCTCATGTGAGATTCCAAGTTCTTCCGCTACTTCACGATGGTGATATGCCGTTCGCTCTAATATTCATCCACCTTCCTGACATTTGCATCTGTAGTGGCCGTGCGCATCCATCCAGCTCACGGTATGTCCTCCACTTGCTGACGTCCATCACTGAATGTGTGACACCATCTTCGCACCATTTGCTTCGACATCACACCTGGCCCACAGACTTCTACGAGGCGGTTATGAATTTCTGTTCCTGATACTCTACGTGCCCATTCATAGCAGATAACCGCTCTCACTTCCTCCTTTAACCACGAATTCAAAACGCACTTTCTCTCCATACCTACTGGGGCTCAAATGAGAGGCTGGTCTCCGCTTTGCGCAGGCACTGCAACAGTGCCATCTGCTTGATTTGCAGCGACCTCTACCCAATGGTGTATCGGTGACTTGTGCGTTTTCCTGCTGTGTCGCCTTTCGCCCATAGCCGTTCAACGCTTCTTCCATATGCAAAGCATGAATTTTTCTTGAAGGACTTTTTGAAGTTTATCAAGCGATATGACAAATGTCTCAACGTACTTGTACGAGAATAATAAAATAAAGGTACAGGGGTTGGACAAAAATATGGAAACACCTTAAAAAAAACATGTTTCTTTGCTTAATATGGTGTAGGAAACCCGTTGGCATCCAAAACAGCTTGCAGTCTTCTCGGAATGGATAAACAGTTCCTGTATGTTTGCCAAGGGAATATTAAACCATTCTTCCTGCAAAACGGTGGCAAGTTCAGATAACATGTTGGCGGTGGATAACGAGAACGCACTTTCCATTCCAATGTAGACCACAAAGGTTCGATAATATTCAGGTCTGGTGACTGTGGTGGCCAGGGGAGATGGGACAACTCATCCTCGTGCTCAGAAAACCAGTCCTGGACAATGTGAGCTGTGTGAACAGGGGCTTTGTCGTCTTGGAAGACACCATCACCATCGGGGAACAAAGTTTGTACCATGGGATGAACTTGATCGGCCAAAATGTTCACATAAGTCTTGGCAGTCATGTGCCCTGACACAGTTATCATGGGGCTAGCAGAGAACTACGATATGGCTGCCCAAACCATAACAGAACCCCCGCCATGTTTCACTCTTGGCAACAAGCAGTCTGTATTATAGGCTTGAGATGGCATTCTCCAGACGTAAACTCGGCAAGAAGTGGGAAACAATGTGAAAGAAGACTCGTCAGACCATATTACTTACTCGCTTCCACTGCTCTATAGTCCAGGCTTTATGACTTAAACAACCACCTTTTCCTGTTTACGGGCATTAGCATCACTGATGAGTGGCTTCTCAATTGCAGCACGGCCAGCAATTCCCTGTTTATGATGACTCCCTTCTAATTGTTTTGGTACTCACAGGGTTCGGTTAACACAACATTCATTTCAGCAGTAACTTTTGCAGCTGTGGTCTTCTTATTTTTCGTCACAATTGCCCTTAATGATCGTCTGTCACGATCACTCAGGACACACTTTCGTCCGCGCTGTGAGTTAGCAGATGATGTTTTTCCGCTTTTCAATATGCGGAATAAATCTTCGATACAGTACCTCTTGAAACACTAAACACCTCGGCTACCTTGCTTACGGAAGCACCTACCATGCGTGCTCCAACAATTTTCCCACGTTCGAAGTCTGTTAACTCTGACATAATGCAATGACAACCTCACATAACAGTACTCCAACAACAACTGAACTGTTTAGCACATTTACGAAGTTGTATAGGTGGCGTCAGTAGTCAAAAATGCCAGCACCACCTACATATTTCATTAAAATCAATCTTTCTTTTCAAACATGCATTTCACAAGGTGTTTCCATATTTTTGTCCATCCACTGTATGTCATATCTTTAATGTCTCATTCTATTTTTTGACTTTCATACACAACTCTGACCACAGTAGACAGGGGAAACTTATTTTTCAACTTACCTACGTACAAAGGAATTATTGAAAGAGTGTAATACAGACATGGCGGTTATTCCAGGAGGATTAACACCATCAGCTCAGCCTTTAGATGTGTGCATCAATAAACCATTCAAAGAAAATTTAAAACAACAATGAAACATGTGGATGTCAGAAAGTGAAAAAACATTTACAAAAGGAGACCAAATGCATCAATGCTAGTTTAGAAATAGTGTATGAAAGGATAATAAAAGCATGCAAATGAAATTAAACACAACATAATCCAAAAGCAACTTAAAACATGCACTATATCTAACAATCTAGGTGGAATGGAAGATAATTATCTATGAAGAGATCAGAGTAATAGTGATTATGAAGATGAAACAGAATTCGATGAACTTTTTATGTTAACCAATAATGAAAATTTTCAAGTTCATAAAGTATGTCATTTCTTTTAAATAAACAGCATTTATGTACATGTAGAAATCTATTTTTTTAATGCACATTCCTTATTTTTAAATCTATCATTTTTATACATACCCATAAATTTTGATTTAATTTTTTGTATTGAAAGTGCATGTTATACGCCAGAATATACAGTAGCTTAAATCCCTTGATTGTGGTTTTAAAAATCTCTTCAATACTACTGAATAATTAATTACCTTAGAAATGAGCCTTCACTTAATACCCTCCGAGTGTCAGGGTTTTTTTAATATGCTCAGGAAGATCTGTATTTAAACAGCATTTATAAGCTAATTTTGTATAATTACTAAGCCTGTTTTCATAAACATCCACTCATTGAGATATTTACCTCATTGAGGACAGTAAGAAAGCAAAATATTTTAAATTATATGCTAATATATATTAAGTGACAAAAAACTCATGACTGGATAAAGGCAGTCATAACACTCATAGTAAGCAAAGAGATAGTGGATAAAAGAGTTGGTTAGAAATTTTCGACACCTTCCTTTGTTCAAAATGCTTGCGACACAGCAAAAACCATGAAGGAGAAAACAATATTTTTTTGAAGATCTTCCACGATTCTGCGAGCAGTATTTACTGATATTAAGCTCATCAGCTATCATTTGAAAAGATACCAGATGATTTTTAAGCAATAAATAACAAACCTTCTCAACCATTCAAACTGTAAAAGGCAATCATACTTTAGTTTAACATCTTTATCTCCATCCTGAAATTAATTTATAGCAATGAAAGCCATTGGATCATTTCAACACTTGATCCACATATGCTTTACACAACATTTTAAATGTCTTTATTGCTATTCTTTTTTCCACTTTAGAGACAACTTTACTAATCTTCCTTGCTTAGATTTGGAATCCATGACAGCAGATGTTCACTGGATTCAAGAAAAGAATTAACTGTATCGGAAATTCTGTCTATAGCAGACACTGATACTGGAAAAGAGAATTGGTCTGTCACAAAAATAAAAGCCATCAATTATTATTTGAAAGGGTCACTGGAATTTTTTAAAAAATAGTCTTACCAAAAGAGCTCATATATTTTTGAAAAATCTCTTATTACTAGGCAATTTTGGTCAAATTTGTACCATATGTTTAATTATTAATTCTTAGCTATGCAAGGATTGGGTTATACTACTGAATAATTACCTTTACCACATGCAAAAATGTAGGAATTTGAATCCCATTTAGTTTTTGGTAAATAAAACTACTCATTAGGTAGGTAAGAAACATGGCTGTTCTCAGGGCACAAATCTTGAGATATTACAGAAATTGAGATATTACAAGATAAGCTACATCTTGTTTTATTTTTGAAATTCTTTTATTTATTTTTCTAAAGTTTTGATGTAATGAATTTTGTATTATTTTTGAAATTTTCTTTTTAGTTTGATGTCACATAAGTTCTACATATTCCAGAAAGATAATAAAACTTCTTTCTTTTAATATTAAAGCTACTGCTTTTAATGCATGATTTAATTTATGGGCTGGTTTGAGTTAATTTCAATTCTTAATTCTTCCCCTAATTTCATTTTCCGAATCATTTGTTTTGGCATTTTATGCTTTAATTTTATTTTTGAATTTTCCTCTTTACTTTGAAGTATCAAAGCACTGGTATGAATGTTTTCTTTACTGTGTGTGTACATATAAATATCTATGTAATAACTTGGAAAATTTGGAGGCATATGTATAAAGAAGAAACTTGGAGATATGGGCAAATTTAATTATTTACTTTTATATATGGTTGACACACATTTTTCATCAAGTCAACACAAATAAAATGGGTGCTACAGCATTCTGTTTACACAGAATTTTTTACAGTAAAGTACTGATAAAGTGAAATATATTTTTGAAAATAGCAAAACAATAATATTCTGCTCCTTCAATATAAAAATGGGATTTCTAAATCTAATGTACTTAAGAATTTACTATATAGTCAATATTACAATAAATCTAAGTAAAACATGACACCAAAAGAATTATAAAGAAAACAGTTAATATCCTAGTACTAGAAATAAGACTAAAAAACATAATAAAAGAATACTAACAAGACGTCTTTTCACTTTATCATACACATGCATCAAGCGTCTTCGATATTCCGCTTCAAGCTGCATCTGAACATTCTCCTGCAATTTAAAAAAATGTTTTTATGCAAATTATAAAATAAAATTTTATAATTTCACTATTTACAACTTAGCCAACTATTTTACAACTTAGCTAAATTAAAATTTCCTACTTAAATATACCTCTTGCCCCCCAAAAGGCCTATCAGTAAAATTTTATGGTACTTATGTATTATTGCAACCACCTTAGTAGGAATCAGCAAAGTTTCAGAATGCACCAAACTCTGGCTGTCATATGCATAACAGTTCTTCAGGCAACCATACACATGACAATTCTTCATTTTTACAAAACAAGGTTGCCATTCTGGTACATACTTCCTTCATTTCTGGCCATGACTACAAACAATATGAGCACTGCCAACAAGTGCGTTATTATGGCACAAAATCTACGATTTACCTTGCTGTAAGTCAGATTGCATTCTGCAAATTACTTCAAGCAAATAAAGCAAAACACTCAAGCAAATTAAGCAAAACACTCAAACTGCCCAGTTGGTTAAATTTCATAATGAAAAGTAAAACAAAAATAATCAACATTACATCAAAAGCAAAGATCTGTGTTTCAGCACCAGTAATCAGGCATTTTAAGTTCATTTTTAGAAAGTAACTCTTGGCCAAATTAAACATATTGTTTTTAGAAAACTGGAATAGCTCAAGAAGAAACATGCTGAAAGGTCAAAGTGTCTTTAAAAATAGTTTAACAACTTAAAAATAGTTTAACAATGATGCCAAAACTTTTCAATGATATATCTAATTAATAACAATTACTACATGCCAAATCTATGACTTGATTGACATGGTTCATTAATTAAAATGCATGACCAACCAAGTTTGGTCCATCTTTAATGCATTCATTATCTACATTCCTCAAAAACATTTTACCGCAGACACAAATTCTAGTGTTTGATAAAGTGTTGCCTTCAAAGGCTTTCTGAAATATTTCAGATATTTTTAAAGCAGCAATTCCACTGCAAAAACAAAATTTAACACATGTTCTGTATTCAGTTACATTCACCATTTTGAGGTGTTATATAAAAAACAAATTCTTTATTCATTACAAATGAATTTATTTGCATATGATAAAAGACAGTAAAATACAGTTTATTACCAAATGTAGATTCAAGTTTTACAAACTTCTGGGGGGGATTGCATATTATTTCTTGCACATGCATATTATATATGAATCATTCCTGAGTAAGTGCACAATATATTTATGTTTCAATTCTCAAATTCCAAAGCATTAAGAAAAATTAGCTTCTGAATCGTATATTTCCCAAACAGGCCTTGAGTAAATGGTATTTTCTTGATTACAATTAAAAAACGACACGCCCACTTTGTATCTTGACTTCTTTCCCTTTAAGAAAACAACTTTAAAAAAATAATAAAGGAATTTTCCAGCTGCAGAGAGATAACATAAAGTCATAGAAAATCAATAATGATGACAGAAATAGATGATAGACACAGAGAGGTTAAAAACTTACACGCTTAGCTTCCATTAAGATTTTTTGGCCTTCTGCCTGCCACACAGCTTTCTTCTCCTGAGCTATGGCATCTTCTAGTACTATTATATTTTCACTCTTAACACCCTCAAATTTAGCTTCTTGATCCTGAGAAGTATATAAAGGTAAATGAGAGTTTTTAGAATTAACACGAAACAAAATAACACCAAAAAATATAGACAAATGGAACCCTTATATGCAGGAAAGTTTTCATTAGCTTTGTAAATTTCATCATATACAAAAGCTTAGCGTTACTAGTATCACAAAGTATTAAACTTCTAGTACAAATTCTAATTACAATGTTTTTCATTTGCTGTCGGGGGGATGAATGCTAATCTTTCATCCTGTCAGGGACAGCTACCATTGATGTTTTCACTGTTTTTAAGCAAATTCTACATTATAGTAAGAGAGAAACAAATAAACTGCATATTTTCTATCCAGTGTGATTTCATTTATTTGCACAGATGTGGTTTCAGTCACACCTCCCCTTTTCAATTTCAGTAGAGCTTCAACAATACAATAGCCATCAAAATTAAAGGATAATGACAGAAATAAAGCATAACTGATACTCGATGAAAAATTATTACTCGAAATTTCTACAAAAGCATTAATTAACATAAAGTGCAATGTTTTGCAGTTGATTATTTTTAAAATACTGAAATTAAAATGAAATTTGTGGAAACTGGAAAATAAAAGGAAGCTTAAGTCACTTTTTTCAGAAAAAATTCTCCTTTAATATGGTACGATCACCTTGAACAGTTATGCATACCTCACATCTTGATTTCAGACTTTACGAAAGTGTTGATCAAGTCTTGTGGAATTCCCTGCCACTCTTCTAAAAGTGCACTTTTCAGCTCCTGAGGGTTTGCGAAGGAATTTGGCATGCTGAAATTTGGTGCCCTAAGGCCTCCTGCACATGATAAAGTAAGGTGAATAAGGTGGCTAATCCATCCGAGTGATATCTTATGTTTGCCAGCATTCTAGCACCACATATGCTCGGTGAGGCAGAGCATTGTCATCCATTATGAAAAACTCTGGGCTAACAAAACAATACACTAAAAGGTCTAACTTGAGGTTCTGATACCTCGTTTACATGTCTCCGAGCAGTTACAGAACCTCTTTGACAGATATGCAATCAGTGCAGCCATATGTCATGATTCCTCCTGAAAGCATCAAAACCTGAAACTTCGAAAACTGGATATTTCATGTACAAGAAAAAATAAGTTGTGTGTTCCTTCCTCTGTCCAGATCAAAACACATTTAGAATCACTGTTCAGATTATGCAGGGTTCATTCGCATTTCTGAACATGGAAATTAAGTACTTTTAATGACTTTTAAGGACAATTAATGAAAGAATTAAGGACCTATCAGCAAATGGGAGCTGAAAAAAATCCAATTAAAGATATATATGCGTGAACTTCACTTTTGTTTTACCATCCTAGGATGCATTATTACACATAATTTAATAAACATAATTATAAAACAAATTTGAGAATAAAATCAACTTAAAAAATTATCAAGTAGCATTAAATATTTTACACTTATAATAGCTCTACATATTTGAAAGAAAATTAGTGACATTTTATTTTACAGTTTACTAACAGTTAGCTTTATGCTGATTTTTTTCTTTCACGTCTCATTTTGTCACATACTTGCTCAGTCTAGAGGTTTAGTAAATAGCATAGATTAAAATGAGAAGTAAAATCATAAATCAGCATAATTTGTACCTGACTATTGCTACCACTGCTGCTTGCCTAGAGAGAGAGACCTGCTGATCAGAACAAACATAAAAGCATGATGTAGAAACAGTTGGCAAGTTCTGAAAGTTAGTTGTGCTCTGTCTGATGTAGTTTGTGTTGTAGCTTCATGTAGAGTTCCTAGGGGCTGTAACCCAGTTAATATACTTTAAGGTTCCAAGAAGCTACTAAAGCACCAGAAGTCATAAGTTGTTTTTTGTTATTTTAAGTCTCACTAGATGCAAAGAATGTTTTACATTAATTTTTTATATTTTTTGTGCTGTATCTTGTGACCACAGTAAACATTAATGAAAGGCAATAATTCACTTTATGCAGAGATAATTTTTAAGGGTGAGCATTTACTTACAAATAATTTAAATTAGGTAGTTAGATAGATACCCTTGGTCATTATAGGTTTACATGACCACTATTAATTTTTTTTTTATATTTTAAAAATATTTATCAAAAAAGCACTATAAAAATCACAATCTAATAACATTTCACAGTTTAAAATACATATAAATTTATGACACTGATTCTTAAACGATATTAGGATAATTACACATTAAAAACTACAAAACATTCATATTTTGTAGCAACAACACACAACAAAAATTTTATGCATCTTTTTAATTTTGTAGGGCTTATTTTAATTTTCTAATAGTTATTTTTAATTTTGAAACCCTTCCCTTTAAATTCTTGTTTTCCACTTACAGTGCCAGAATGTGATTTCAGTATTGTGTTTTATGTAAATGAAATAGAACCAGTATTTAATGGGAAGTTGAGTCATTTCCGTAGAACAGCTCAGAAGTTCTCAGTAGAACGCGTTATGCATTTGGGCCATCTCATTGTTTTAAGCCTATCTTACTACATATGGCCATAGACTTACATGCCTGTTAGTTTTCACCCATGAGGTTTAATTAAAGACCAACTCGGTTAGCTAGCTCAGTACGGCTTCAGCTAAAGTTTGGCTAGTTAGAATTAGTTTTAATTTCTTATTTTCTATCTTAAGTTAAAGTCCAAGCGGAGGCTTTGCTTTGAGCTCGATAGGGTCGTCTGTTAGTATTTCTTTGAATGAATAAAAGGATATTTTAACCATTCTTTGAAATTATATTTTATAGTTGTAAGAAAACCAGTGAATAGTCGCTAGACACTTCCCTGAAGTTATAGTAGCCAAGGACATGTAAATTAACTAGAAAATTTTAATTCGAAGCCCTCCCAGGCATTTTGGCTAATTTATATCAATTTACTTCTTGTTAAGCATCTTTTCTAACAATTAGAAAATATTGCTCAATATGCAAACTAATGTTCTAGCTAGTTTCTGTTTGCTTTATCTCCTAACTTGTCATTCTCTTGGTAATGTACCTATGAGGTTTTACTTGATCTGGTAAAAGTTAAATAGTCCCAAACCCCTGTCAGATGCAAAGCAAATTAGTGCCATGTCTGAAATTACCTACAAAACCAGATAAAGTTTTAAATAAACCTCTTATTTAAGAAATGAGAACATAAAGGTACGTTTTTTAAGCTAATAAAATCAACTACAGCTCATGGTTTAATTAAACAGGAACAGTCAAACTAAAGATGTGGACTAATGGTCCAAGACTACACAATTTAATTTGAATCTATGCTGGCTCAGTAACTCTATTGTCGTAATAAATTCAAATGTTGAGAACAATAACACAAAGACGACTAATTACAAATTATCAGAGCTGGCAGGAACTAATGCAGCGTGCAAGCAGAGGTCAGAAACACACTCTGTCTTACAATTCAAGAAATATTTCCAATTTAGAAACTGTCTAACTGATTTACATTCTGGTGAGGAAACGGAGAGGAAAAGTTATAATTATATAAACAACTGGTTAATTTACATAATAATAACTACATATCTTTGAAGAATAATTTTCTTCATCTTTACGTATTCAGTTTTTCTCTTCAATACATTTCCTCCTCATTTTAGAATTTTTGGATTTAATTAGGGATTTCCGTTATTCTAAAAAATTAAATACATTCTGAGCATATAGAAAAAGCTGCTAATTTCATTTCTTTAGTAATATGGACATTCAGAATAAATATGAAATGATATATAGAAAGGACTGAAATTTTTTGGCAGGATTTTAAGAATTTAGTGACACACCAATCAACAAAATGTAGTATCGGCAAAAATTTCAGAATTTAGGACCCACATAGATTGCATCAGGTAGGAAAATGCCTAGCGCCAGCCCTGTGTATGATGCATTGAGATATATAAGATGAATCTTTTAAATTGTAAGTTTTCAATTCTTCCATAAACAGAAAAATTCCTTTCTATAAATGCCTGTCCATGTGATAAGATCAGAAGAATTTTTGATATTTTCCATGCTTGTATCTAGTGAAAAGTACAGAAAATAAAGGGAAGATAAACATGTTAAGAAAAAGACTTCTAGTATCAGAAGTAAAACATTAAAATATTATATTTTTATCATTCTTACAAAAATTCTTCAAAAAGTATCAAATTAATCGCAATCTTTCTGTAAAATACGCTCATTATGTGTTAATATTATGAAGACATTTTTCATTTTGTCACATCTTTCTGGAATCTTCTAGAATCACGGGCCAAACTTGCCTTCAAATCCTTTTAAACTGTTGTAATGTCTAAAATCCTAAAGAAAAATTGCCTTTACCAATTCTGTAAAACAAAACACAGATTTTTTCCTTTAGGTAAAAAAATTGTAAAATTAATTTAATAGAGAAATCTGAAGCATATTCTGTGAATTCTGAATATTTTGAGATAATTACATGGGAAAAACTTACAATGAAAAAAATTAAAAAGAAGACACTTTTAATTAATTACATAGCTACTTTGCTTTTGCTAAGAACTGTTTTGTACACTGTGCTTTATAGCATTTTATTACCTTATTTATTTTTCAAATTCAAAATATTGTACAATAAGTCGCCAAAATGGAAAGTAATGTCACCTTATTTTGACAGTAAAAAATAAAAATGGTTTATTTTAATGTTATTTCTTAAATATAATTTCAATATATTACCATTATTTTAATGATTTTCAATTTATATTATTTAAAAAAAAATCGTCAAAAATTTTCCAGACCTCCGAATCAAAACTTTTCTATAGAAACTGATTTTAAAAATCCCCAAAATGTTGATAAGTCGCCAAATTTAAAACTTTTTAATAAAACATTAACATCCCCAAAAGCAAAAAATTGTTTAACCCTTTAAGGGACGATGGTCGCACCCTGAAACCACCAATTTTCAAAATTTTTCCCGCTCTTGTTTCCAAACTGTTTGAGTGAAAACCGATTGATTACTTATCTTTTACCTCTAAATAACACAAAATTACTGCAGAACTATACATTTTTTAGGTCTTAGTATTTTAAATCGGATGCCTTTTAAAATTCATTTTCAGTGAGAAAAAATAACTTCCTTTTATTTATATTAATGACTTAAAATTAAAACTTTTTTTATTGCACATCATTATTTCTATCATAACAATAAAATACAAGCAATAATTAAATGCATATATAAAACCTGTGTATATTTATGGTATTTCCTTTGTGGTTTCAGGGCGCGACCACTGCCCCACTAGAGCATTCGTTACAATGCTCACATTCCCCTAGAGGCTCGATGGTCACGCCCTGAACCACGCTCTTTATAGTAATGTTTGCTGCTTTGAATAGAAGTGTTTATTTTCACCCGGATAAGATAAGGGTTTTTGAAATCACAGAGTTTTGTAATTACCAACATACATGCACCTTCCCCATAAATTTTTCGCTTCCACACATTTTCTCTGCTTTCAACATGCTTGCTCTCCATGCTAGTACTGTGATTTTCTAAATTATTTGTGTGGTTCCAAAAATTGCAATATATTTTTGAATAATTAAAAATAGAAATCGCTCAAAATTTAATTAAATTTAAAACATTTTGCCAATATTTTATTTCTACTGTTGAGATTCAAATGCCTCACAAAAGGGTTCGAATAGCTATGCATTAGCGTTCTTGAAGAATTACCTTCAGATCCAGAATCAGTGGCCTCTGAGGATGAAAGTGAAGGAAAGGAAATACTCCTTTACCCCCTTCCCTCCTGCTTATGGAATATATAAGATAAAGTATGATCAGCAGAAATGATGATATAATTTACCAGTCCTTCCAGAATTGCAGATAACATGAATAAAGCATTTCGTGAATCATGCGTGTTGCTTTGCATATACCAAAAAGATAAACATGCTTTGAACAGTTCCATAAAAATAACTAGTTCTTTGACATTAAAAAAATTACTGAGCTTTTTAATATTCTATTGAATTTTTTTTTATCTATTTATCCCAATTTCCTTATTATGTACGTTCTATGTTTTCACTGCTGCAGAAAAATTACATAAATTATAATTTTTTTCTGATGATATACTTATTTACAAAGTAAAAAATTTATATTTGATGCATTTTTAAATGGTTTTTTTTTTATTTTGCAATTTCGTCATTCATTGGAAATGCTACAGAAAAAGTAAGTTTTTTTTTCCTGCTAACTCAGTAAGTTTCAAAGTTCTAGACGCGTGCTGGTTTCACAGCGAAACCACCACCCACAGATTAATGGGCGGGAGTAGATTTTTTTTTAATTCATATTCAATTTCTAGTGTTTTTAGTTATAAAAATTTTAAAAATAATATAGCGTGCGTCAAAGGGTTAAGAGCTCTTAATTAGAAAAAATGAAATAATTTCGAAATGCTTTTGAGTATCCAATGTTTATATTAGAAACAGGAACAAATTATAACTTATAAACTCATTCAAAAGATATATATTATAATTTTCAGTGAAACGCCAAAAATATTCCTCTAAAATGCTAATTCACACTCAAAATGACAGTCGTAAAAACAGACAGAAATTTCAGATGATTAAAATTAAGGACTTTTAAGGACCAAAAATCAATTCCAAAAAACCTAAGGACTCTTAAGGACCGTACGAATCTTACTATATCTGGAATTCTCAGTAAACAATACTCGGGCGCAGTAATCTTGGCTCCATCGAACATAAGGATGGCACCAGCTGATATTGGGCCCCCTGGAAGATGGAGTGAGTGGGACATAAACCATTGGTTTTCTCGCACAGTCCGACCTTGTTAATCCTCAGTAGCAGAGGAATGGCTAAATGGAGTTCCTGTGGCAGCCTGAAGGTCTAAAACCAAATCTTCTGTAGCCGCTTCTCAGTTTCTTCAAGCCAACAACAATAGAAAACTCTATTTTGATGCAGTTGATGATCTCAATTTGTGTTTGACCTGCATCGTTCTACCAATTATTCGCCACTTTTGACCTCCACTTAAATGATGCCTTTGAGCCATAACTACTGATCACTCTCAGAAACAGCATTCATTTTAAACAATACTACAGACTGGGATTCCAACATGCATCCATTCCACACCACTTGGTAAATAGCCTAATTTGCATGTTTCTGGCCCTAACGTATGCACAGAAGTGCAATTTTGTGTTGAATTGGGTTTAACTAATATAAATAATTATAGCAGTAGGCATTGATTGCAACATTAACTTACTCAGAATATTGTCTCATTATGGTTAATTTTGATCACCAGTCTAATTAGGTGAATATAAATAAAGCAGTCATACTGACAAAAATACCCCTCTATTCAATACGTTCATGGAAAACACATGTCAGAAGCATGAAATCTGTAATAGCTGAATTTGGCTATCAAAGGATATTGGATACATTCTTAAGCAAGAAATGCACAAAATGACATCAGCAAAGTGTCAGCTTGCTGATGAAGTACAAACAAAATTCTGCATCTTTCAACCATTTGGCAAGAAGTTGCATTTTCAGCGAAGAAACATATGCATGATACAGTATCATCTTGAATAGTACACTTTGTACTGCAGCACAAACAAAATTAATGCATCTTTCAACCATTTAAGAGGGCTGTTCTGATTGTTGTGGTGTTTAGTAGAGATAACAACCATAATGATAGGCCCAGGTTTGAATCATTGAGAAGGCATAGAAGAATGCAAGTGTATATCCCCCTTTCTTGTAAGCAATAATACCAGTTGCTCTCTTGTGGTGTATTTTTCACACCATCCTTGTGATGAGAAACGTAAATAAATACCGATCGATCTGGCCATTCCTAGCAAATGTTTAAAAGGAATTGTCTTATCCTCAAATTAAAAAAATGGGAGGAGGGGGAAATGTCAGGAGAACTAGGGATTTCATGTTGCACAATCTCAGAACGATTCTTAAATTCATTTCATAAGGCATGATTCAGGTTATAGAGCTACTTATAATGTGACTCTGGTGTAAAATATAATATTTAATTAAATATTCTAAATTTTATGCTTTTTTGGCTAATTTCATTTTGTAGTTTTCTTATACTTTTATACTGAGAAAATCTTGAGTAGGATGGAAGGCTTTTATTTTTAATTTTTTTATATGTATTTTTAAATACATTAAAAAAATGGCAAACAATTTATGTATTATTTATTATGAGGATAAACATAAAAATGCACCATTTCCTGATTAAAAAAATAATAAACACAAATCATATTTGATTAAACATTGGGTGAATCTTCATAAAATGTTCTAAAAATGTCTCCAATAGATTAACCCTCTGAGTGATATGGGTTTTTGAGTCTGCTTATGAAAACCTGTTTACATAATTACTTCTTTTAGTCTGTTTTCATAAACTTCCATTCATTAAGATGATATTTACATTATTAAAGAATGTAAGAAAGCAAAATATTTCAAATTATAAGCTAATATATATACCAACTGACAAAAACTCATGAATGGATGAAGAAAGTCATGCCACTCAAGAGGTTAAAGCAAATCAGATCAAATAAAATTTAATAAGAAAAATTATGCTCAAAGTCACTTGGCTGAGAGAAATGAAATTTGCAAAATTTAAGTTTCATTAACTTAAATAAATTTAATTTATTTCTGGGAAACAGTTTTCTTAGTAAAGGTTAAAAAAATAAAAATTAGCAGGTTCGGTGATCTACCAGAAGACAGGAAGTTGTGATGAAAAACCAGGAGATTTGTCAGCTACAGCAATAACATTTTAAATTTTTAAATAAAACTGTCCAACAAACATTTTCTGTTCTTTTTTTTTAAATCTATGTGTACCAAATCATCATGCATGTTCAATTATGTTTGCTATTAACTAAAAAAACTGGAAAATTGAACCTTAAAAAAAGACTTTTCCAATTATTACTATTATTATTTGAAAAAATAATGGCAACATTTTGAGAGAATGAAAAAAATATTAATACCTGAACCAATTTGTCAGCAAACGTTCGTGTTGCTGGGCCAAACTTCTTTATTGCTGTGTAAGCTAAAATAAATATGGCTACTCCAGTAGAAAATTCTTCTTCTATTACAAACAGCTCTTTAGAAAGCAAGAATGTTAGTAGACCTGTACCAAACAAATATGGACCAGTTACTCCTGTCTTCTTATAAAAGAACTGGAAGATAAAGAAATTAATAGTATAAGAAACATTTTCTAGTTAAGTCAACTTTGTAAAATAAAAAACATATAGTGTTAAAAATAATTTTGAACTACATAACTGTACAAGTTTTAGTAGTCATTTTAATTTCTGGTGAGTATTTTTGACAACTGCATTCACAATTACATCAGACTGTTATTTTCAGCCAACATGGAAAGGCAAGTGACTTTTTTCAGCCAGCTCTCAGTTCTTATTCTGACAATTACGTTACGATTACGTTAATTTCTTAAAATGTATTTAGAATATTGAAAATTGTTTTATTCATCTTTATATATTATATTTATTTATCATGTTCTGTAGCAAAATCTTACCTCTTTATATTTATTTAATGATTTTAGACAGTATTTTGAAAAAAATAATTTTTTTGTTTTAATTTTGAGTTTTTGTACTAAGTTTTGAATATTTCAAAAAATTTTATAAGTACAGCAAATCTTTTGCTACAGAACACAGGTAAGTATGATATTTATATACTGTGTAAAGATGACTGAAGTATATTCATTAGAATCTATTATAGGAGATCTGGCGTAAATGAAAATTTTCACTAAAATTTTACTAAATATTGCCTACATTTAAAAAATTAATGAAACATTTTATAAAATCCCATTTAAATTCATAGTTTTATATCCCATCTTACTCAAAAACATGTGTATTTAATTAAAATTTTATATATTTAAAAAAAAAGTGCTTCGTATGTAGGCACATACCTTAAAGGGATGGATGCTTTCGTGTACTCCTTTTTAAGAGAAAATTGCTTCCATATTCATTCCTGATGGAAAACTCCACATGTAATCAACCCGTTCTCCAGGTTTGATCGCTTACTGAATTACATCAAAGCACACAACAATTATCTATATAAGGTGGAGGGATGCCTTCGCAGAAGACTTTCTAAGGTAAGCTGGCTTGTATTTATGTTACACAAAAACCATGAAACCAACCCTTTAGCCGGGATTCAAACCCGAGCGAGCTACAAGTGTTCAGCCATCTTTACCCCTCTACTGAAGGGCCCATAAAAATATTGATAAAGAAAAAGTATTGAAATAACCAGTTTAATTTACTAACCTATATTTCTCAATCAACAGTACATAATTTAGGCATATGAGGGGATTATTTGTGAATAAATAAACTGTATTACACTTTTCTCCACTATTTTATATTACGATGGAATTATTGCATTATAAAGTTATTTCTCATGAATTAATTTTGCTCCATTCATGATTTTTTATTTTTTCAAAGAGAAAATTTCAAATTTTAAATAAAAAATACACAAGAAGATACTTTATGCAAAATGTGGCATAAAAAGTTTTCTTAATTTTGCTTTGAAAATATTCCAGGGTAATTGTTTTCATTACTGGAACAAGTGTTCAGCCATCTTTACCACTGATATATATGAAATATGAAAACAGATTTATTACATTGTAAGTGTCAACACCCAGTATACCCTTATTCTTTTGAAAACGTGAAAGATTACTCTTTCTAAAAAAAGTTAGAAAATATATTATGTGCAAATAGAATATTCATTGAAAATGAAATAGACCTTTGGATATAATGATGGTTTTAGACGAAATGTCCGCCTATGAAAGGAAATTGATGTATAATTCTTCATAAACATTTAAAACTGTTCTGAAAAATACTTTTGATAATTGAATGTATAGGTCACAGATTTTTTTCTCTGCTAACATAAACAAAAGCCAATTTAAAGAAAAATTCTCGTTAAAGATATACCTCCTTTGCTTGATAGTCCAATGTAATATTTGTTAAAGTTAAATGATGAAAAGCAACCAATGTATCTCTGATTTTCTTTTTTATATTATAATAACAAAATTATTGAAAAAAAGCAGATTTAAAGCTTTGCTATTGTTATGTAATAAATACTATTAATGAATTTGTTATTATTTCATTAAATTAGTCATTACCATTATTTTGTTAATGAATAAATGTTATTAAAAATCGCATTCCAACCTGCAGATTTACAAAGCTAATTCATATTTATTATATTTTGTAAAATTTTGTTTTCGTTTTCTAATTTCTAATATGAAAATATGCGGATATAAATGAAGTGTGAAAACTAAGTTATAAAACACACAAATTATTGCCGAGATTGATCAGAAATAGTAAATGAAATATAAATATTGCATACATTTTGTTCTAAATAAATAGTGCACTGGATGCATTTCCAGTGTACTATTTATTTAGAACTTCATTAAAATAATCATCGAGAAAAATTGTAATTCTAGCAACCCATCTACTATGGAACTACTATGGAACAGCATCCGACAAACATGTAAATTTTACTGCATACATGGAGGGGACTAACGACTTTTCTCACTAGGAAAATGTCAAAGAGGGGGCCAAAAATGTTTTGGATCGTGCCAGTCTGAAGGCTATATTATGAGAATTTCGGTCAGGTTTTAGAAGTTTAAATTGCTAGAATGTTCTTTTTTTATACTGATAATATTCGCCAACTTATGATAATTAATAGTAAAAAAAAAAAAAAAAAAAAAGCATAACATTAACACATAAGCAGCCACAACTTTTTTTTTTTCCCAAAACACATGCCTGGAAATAATTGTTGGCTCCACTTAATTTCTCAGGAAATTAAGTGGAGCAACATTATGGAAAACCCATTATGGAAAACATTATGGAAAACCCAGTAAAAATTAACAGGAGATGAATAAACTTTTTTGCTGAGAAAGGTTTATCAAAATATGATGCAATATAGATATGTGCTTGTTCTAATTGGTCTGAAATTGATATAATAATAATAAAAAAAACTTCGTCCTTCCTTTGCTAAAGATAAGGATATTAATTAGAAAAAGCATAATCTCATTTTTCTAGCACAGTTTGGTACATATTTCAGGATTGTTCAACATTTGCAGGAATCACAACAGGGATGGTATTTTTGGTGATGCATTAGTAGATACTATCTAATACATACGTATCAAAGTTTTAGTTGTTTTCTATTTTTTTTTTTTAAATAAAATTTCAACTTAACAAGCTCCTTTAAGTATGAAAGGCAAGTTTTCTGCTCAGTGGCACTGATTTTAAATTCAGTGAAACAAAACGCGTTCAACACCAGGCTAAATTAAAATTTTTGAATTATTTGCACCTCCCGTTGTAATGTTTGATAAAACCAAATTTTTTGGCATGCTTTCAAGGTCAAACGCAACAACAGCCACCTCATGCATGTGCATACCACAAACGAGATTGAGTATATGTGAATTCAGACACTTTACATTTAATCATCATTCATTAAACAGAATGGCTGAACACCTGTAAAAACATAAACATCAGCCATATAAATATTCTTATTTTTTCCCTCCAACAAAGTCTTTCTTACTCATAAAATGCTTCTTTTTATTGTTATTTATGAAAAGAACAGTATTTAACAGCTGTAAAGGTAGGCAAATGTATGGTTTTCCCAAAGTCACAGTCACCATGATCTGACATCTTTTGTGGGTGCAGAAAATCACAAAGTACCAAAATAACAGCTACACTTTTAGCATGATGATATGTGCAAGATAACAGTACGTAATATATGGTTTTCACAGAATTCAACATTCAGCTGCTCTGATTTCCTATGAGCAAACTGAACAATGTTAGTTATAAAATTAAAGCATGGACAAATTAATAATTTCACATATTTTTTTATGAAATATAATGACATAACTAGGAGCATTATAAAAATATATTTTTATATTACTCATTATCAAAAGTCAAATGAAAGCATCAGCAGTAATAGTAATATCTCTAAAGAGAGGCAGAAAAATTGCTCACAGACAGGTGACAAGAACTAGAATCAATTTCTTTAAAATAAGCATTTCCATTGCAAACCCTCGTCATTTGTGATTATAATATGTGTTGTTATTATCACACAGTATTTATTTTCTCCAACACATTTCAGATAAAAGTTCAAGTCAGATTTCATTAGCACACTTTTTGCGAAAGCAAAATACACAAAACAGAACTGGACTGGACTGAGAATGATAATTAGATAACTTGAACTATCTGTTGCATCCATTGTAACAAGGCAATCTGGGGATGGAAAATGATGCCAAAGTTCCAATTTTAATTAGTAAGTAAAGTAACAGTAAAAGTAAAAGTAAAGTTTAAAGTAACAGACTATACAAGATGATAAACATCATAACATAAGATGAATAAAATACTTTTTACAAAAGAATAATGAAGAACACAGTATTTCCTTTGCTTTCCTTTTTCAGGGAAACAGTTTCTGTTTAGTAATTATTATTTAAAACATGAATTTTTTATTATCTGAGAGAATTAAAATATAATATAAATAAAACATATTTATTTTCTTTCAACCTTCCTAAAATTTTGGATTATTGAATTATAGCAAAATACATCAGGACTACGTGCCTGACGGAAGAGCTGCTTTTGTGAAGAATATTTCAATGGCAACTGGCTCATATTAACATTACATACATGAAAACCTGTGAAAACTGTAATGCAAACCAGTTCTTTGCCAAGATTTTGAACCAAGCTTGAAGTCAGGGCCTACCAACGGTTAAGCAAGAGTTCATCAATTTTACTGCTTAGTCACCGGCACAAAAGCATGATGCATTGCAGATTGCATTTATTCAAATTGGTCTGAAATTGACATAGAACTAATAGGAACTATTCTGACTTTCTGGAAAAACTTTTTATTTTCTCTGACCATTTTCTATTTCCCTGATTTCACAAAAGAGAAGAAACCTTGTAACATTTACAATAACTTCAAAAATCACAGAAATTTTTTTAAAAATGAATTAACTGGAAATTACCGATGTTTCAATTAATTCAAAACAATCAAATTTTTCAGTGGCTATCCTCTTCTTCTTCAATGGCCAGACAGCCCAGGATGGGGCCCTTGCCTTCCTTAGAAACGAATTCCAAACTCTTCTATCCCTGGCCATGGACATCCAATTGGTTATTTTTTAAATTCTTAAGTCTGTTTCCAAACAGTTAAGCCACCTAAATTTAGGTCTGCCTCTTTCTCAGGTGCCGAACGATCTGGCCAAGAAGATCTTTTTAGTTACTCGATTTTCATCCATTCTACACAGGTGGCCAGCCCATTTAGTTCTCTGAATCCTTATATATTTTACTATATCTATTTCTTTAAGAGATTTACAGAGTTAGTTCTTCTTCTCCAGATATTGTTACAATTTATGCCACTAAAAATACTTCTCAAAATTTTTCTTTCAAAGACAGAAATGATACTTTTAGCTTTTTCTGTCATTGCCCAGGTCTCAGCAGAACATGTAAGAATGGGTCTGTTTAAGCTTTTGTAAATTAAATCTCCATTTTTCTTGCTAGTGAAGACTTCAAGTATTTTTTTTTAGACCGAAAAAACATCGGTTAGCATCTGTGACTCTACTAGGGATCTCAGGCATTAAATATTTAAATTTGCTAACAATTTCAAATTTGTAATTCCAAATTTCAAAATAGGGGCTGATATTATTACCACATGCCATGTATTTAGTTTTATTTTGTTTGATTGCTAGATGCATTTTGCTGACTGCAACCTCTAAAGATGTAAAAGCCTCTCTAAGTAACTCTCTCTAACGCGTGCGACTATGTCGATATCATTAGCAAACACAAAAATCTGAACAGACTTGTTAGAGATAGTTCCACGAGTATTAATGTTGGAGTTTTTTGTTATTTTTTGGAAGGCAAGGTTAAAAAGCAAGCAGGCCAGTGCATCACCCTGTCTGAGCCCATTTGAAACAACAATAGGCTCAGAAAGATTATTCTGGATTTTAATCCTAAGTTTTGTCTCAGTAAGAGTAATGGTGACCAAATTTATAAGTTTTTCAGGTATTGCAAATTCTCTCATGGCTTCAATTAAATATTTTCTGTTATTTGAATCGTAGGCAGTCTTAAAATCAACAAAATGGTGGTGTGTGCAATGCCATACTCATTAGTTTTTTTCCAAAATTTCCCTAATGTTAAAGATTTGTTCTGCTGTAGATCTTCCTTTGCGGAAACCACATTGATAATATCCCTACAATATTTTCTGTATAAGTTACTAGTGTACTAAAAAGTATATTGGAAAATAGTTTGTAAAAAACACAAAGGAGACTGATTCCCCTGTAGTTGGTACATTCCAAAATGTCTCCTTTTTTGTGTATAGAACAGATGATGCTCAGCTTCCAATCTTCGGGTAAAACTTCTTGGTTCCAAACTGATTCGATGAGGTGACGTATTTCCTCAATGGTTTGACCTGCAGCACTTTTAATAAGTTCTGAAGTAATCGAGTCAGGGCCTGAGGCCTCTAATTTTTGAACTTTTTAATTTCTTGTCTAACCTCTCTGCCAAAGATGGTGCCGGGATACTATCAGTGTAAGGTAGTTGAGTAGGTTGAAGACCCATCCCACATACGGTTCAACAAGTTACTTTCAGCGGCTAGAGAGTTTCATAATATCGATAAAGATGTTTGGAGCAATCTTGAACCTCCTCTTCAATAGTTTTTAAGATAACGTTTCGCAGAGAGATTGACCAAGTTTTAATATTAGTGAAAAATATATTTTTCAATTCCCCCCCCCTCCATGCAAAGAAATAAAAAAACCAATAAAAAATTTCATAGAAATAATTTACCCATTAAATATTTTCTTTGATTACAATTACACATAAAAATGAGATAAAAATTGCTATAACATGAAAAGTTTTCATTGCATTATTTTACATAAATAATCTTTTTAACAACTTTTTAACTTAGTACCTGGAACCATTCTTCAGGAAGAAAACCCATCCGAACTTTTCCCGGATAGATGGCCCTCTTACGTCGTGGAAAATTGACATGGTCTCTCTCGGGACCATCGTACGGTTTCGGAAGTTCTTCCTTCAGCAGTTCTTGTATTTGCTTGCATTGCTCAGCTATCACAGTGGGAGTAAGCTTTGCAACAGCAGGAGAAGTAACATCTGTAGTAGCGGGAGCAGTAGTTGTAGTAGTAGCTGCAGTTCTTTGGAAACTGGGAGGCATAAAAAAATGTCTTAGACTTTTGTACTAGTAACTAGATCACAGGAAAACATTTCAACTGCATACTAGTTAATATACAAAAAAGAATAAAAGTTTTTAAATCATCAAAACTTTATCAAGTTTCTTTTTTTCCAGTATGTCAGTGCAGCACAAAAGTGGACAGGAAGATATTACCCAAATAATCCCTAAATTCAGCGATACCCAATGTACAGTTTAACCCTTAAATGCAATACCTAGAAAACTTGACATAAACAAAAAACTTACCCAAGAATGAAAGGGAAAAGAAAAGATAATGGATTAGAAAATACATTAAAAATCAAAGTACGTACAACCTATAAACAAATAGGTGACGGAATTTGAAGATGCTGTGAAAAAGGAGACTTCAAAATGACACTGCAAAATATTACCATGTACATGCCCTAAAATGTTCTAGTTGGCATAGCCAACCTATAGAAATAAAATACATTTCAGATCATTCAGAAATAAAATACATTTCAAAAATAGAACACCATGCAGGTGGCATGTTACAAATATCAAATTTGTATGAAAGATACTACCTATTAGGATATGCAAATGATTAGCATTATGCACATGCGTACAAAGGAGGTATGAGTAATGTCATTTACATTGTGTATAAATAGAAAGATTGCACGGCAAAGTTCTCATTTAAAAATTGAAGGGTTTGCAGTAACAAGTGCCCAGCTCCACATTTTTTAATTTTCAGAAAGTTAAAAAAAAATTTCAAAAATTCATCTTTTAACTTGCATTTCAAATGTTTTTCCTCATTAAAAGTGCTAGTAAAAATGATTTTTTACGTCTAATCCAATGGCTTTTTACCTCAATACAAAAAAATGATTTTTTTTTTAAAACAAAAAAGACCCATGAACACAAAATCTACCAAAGTGGAGCTGGGCCCTTCTTGCTGCATGCCTTTCAGTTTTATTTGAACATCAGGTTGTTTGTGTAAAGGTCAGGTTATGCCTTGTGTATGAAGGAGAAACTCTTACCAGCACATATTGAAATTCAACAACAGTTAGACTACTGAGGCTTGTTAATGTTCAAGAAGACAAACATGTCCTCTCGGCCTTACGAGATCATACTGCTACATCATCAGAACCGGATTTAGATTTGACGAGATCCTAAGCTAGTCAAGATATGAGAGGGATCTTTATGAGGGATATGGTACAATTTTTGGAGGCGCTAAGATATATCTTGTGCAGCTTATAAGTAAATCCAGCACTTCACATCATGTACTGAGTCAGGAATTTGGTTCATGTAAACTACTGCTCACAGCAAATGTCTACAGCCCCACAGACTGCCAACACAGCAACCATTCCTGAAGCTTCTCTTGATGCTGCAGCAGAAACAGATGAACTTACAGTATGTGGCAAATAGCACTTACAGTATGCAGCAAATAATGACACTGGGCACAAGAGTGGTACCATATCATCTTTTCAGATGAATTACAATTCTGAAAACAGTAACATGATGGTCATATCCATGTATGGAGGCATCAAAGAGAACGAACACAGCCAGCTTGCATTAATGATCATCATGCAAGACTAGCACATGGTGTGCTGGTATGGGGTACTAACGGGAACACATCCCGGTCATTTTTGTTCTCACAGACGATCATGTGGATATACGGCATTATATTTCTGGCATATTAATGCTTGTAGATGTGCCTTATCTCTGAGGCCTGGGTAGTGTCTTCTTTCAACAAGATAATGCATAACTGCATATTGCCCATGCTGTTCTGACCTTCCTTGATACAGAGTGAGTGTACAACTGCTGCCGGGCCACATCTCTCACCCACTGAGAATATCTGGTGTTGGGTTACCGAGAAACTGGCCTGCCACTCCTATGATTGATGCATTCTAGCACAGAGTTAAAGCCACATAGAATGAAACACCCATGTTTGTCATTCAAGTTCAGTTTTACTCAATACCCAGCTAGATTATAGTCATTGTTGCTGCCTAAGATGGCAGCTATGTGTACTGAATTCTGCACTTGTTTATCCCAAAATCATCACCAAATTTATCATGCCTTCCTCTCATTATATTGTGTACGTAAAAGATTCTGCTCTTTGCTTTCCTGATGTAGCAATTTTAATGGTCAGCAGTGTATTTAATAATGTTCCCACAGAAGATAAAAATGAAATAAAAAAAAAATTTCATTTCAGATCCCAATGAAAGCTTTAATTTCAGATTATAATTTATTTATTAAACAATGACAGTATGCACAATTTAAAATCAATAAAAAATAAAAAGATTTTACAGGCATACATTTATTTAAAAAAAATTGACACCACAATGCATACTTACCAACCTATGACACTCAAAAATCAGGAGATTTTTTTAAGAAATCGGGAGATTTTTCACAATGTTAAAAAGACTTTTCAAATGATAAAAATATAGTTTTCAATAATGAATTAACTTTAAATAGTTACTAATTCTAAAATGCAAACAACATAAAAATACGTTAAACATAAAAAAAAAAAAAAAAAAAAAAAAAAAAAAAAAAAAACATTTTTATCACTTGCATCGTTATTTTCGATCTAAATTTAGTTCTCGTTTTCGTAACAACACTGAAAATCCTCTCACACTCTGCATTACTATGGGGACTGTCAAGATGGCCAACATAATTCTAGACAGTTCACTATATTTTAAAATTTCATCAGCACCTTTCAGTTTTTCAATTAAACTCCACTGGGTGTCAATCCTAGCTGATTTTATAACTTCATTCCAGTTTTCTAATTGTAAACTGCAAAATTGCGACTGCAATATTATCAGTGGCAAAATCAATATCATCATCTTTCATGACTAAATGAAGTAACAGAGGAAATCTGTTCAAAAAGTACCTTATATCAGGAAAAGATGCATTTGCTAGAGCAGAAACATCAGCAATTTTAGCATGCAAAATCACTTCATTGTTGACTGGAAATTTATGTGGTATGTAATCACATACTCGACAGAACTAACTTCTAACATTAAGATAAAACTTATTTTTGCCTTCTGAAAGTTCTTCCGCTACTTTTGTAGCTGCAGCTCCTATTACCAAATCTTCATCTTTCTTCTGATTTTCTGTTTCACCATAATAGAACACCATAACATCACATCATATATAGAATTACAAGACAGAACACAAGACTGGTTTTACAAACTTTGATAAAATGTCTTTAAACATCATAAATAATTGATTGTAAACATGAATTAATGGAATTCTGCTTTGTAGAATTGTTTTAAGAACATCGAATGATGGCCAAATGAATTGTAAAAAAAAAAAGGAAAAAACTTTGTTAAGGTCCGAAGGAAAAAACATAAATATTCGCTCTTCACAAGATAAACTTACAGTATTTGGAAAATGTTTCGTGTGCTGAGGAACTTTTTTTATTTTGAGAGAAATTTGTATCAGCTTTACCCTTATATTTTGCAGTATTATGTAGCGTATTCGGAAACTAAGTACCGTTTCATTCTAGCGCCGTTGCAGCGCAGTAATAGGCGTCTCGCGCATGAACACTAGTCTTTCTTGTTCACTGACTTTCAATTGTCGCCATTTTGGTTGCTCTATGTTGTGTTTTCAGTTTGCTGTGCACATTCAAAATGTTTAATACAATTAGTTCTCCCACTGACTGTGAGATTCGTGCCGTGATAAAGTTTTCGAACGCGCGGAATGTTAAACCGGCTGAAATTTATCGTCAAGTAACAGAAGTTTACGGTGAATATGCGATAAGTATGGAATGGTGAGAAGTGGGTAAGAATGTTTAATGCAGGTCGAACAAATGTCCACGCCAAGGTCGGAGTGGTCGTCCTTCTGTTCACCGATGTTTGTTAAGGAAAGCTGATGAAGCAATTCATGAGAACACGCTTCACATGACAACTCTTCAGAGGCATTTTCACAAATTTCCACGTAGTTTTGTTCGAAATTGTGTCTGAATCGCTTAATTATGCAAATTGTGTTCCTGATGGTTCCAAAAATGCTCACTGATGTTCACAAAACAAAGCGACTTGGTAGTGCTCTGACTTTCTCATGCGGTACGTGATAAGGGAGAAAACTTTTAAACCAAATTGTCCAGGTGATGAAATTTGGCGAGTCCATTCACACCAGAATCGAAACAACAATTAAATGGAGTGGAGACAAACTCAATTCTCGAAAACAAAATTCAAAGTACAATGTCATCACAAAAAAATGTGCACTGTCTTCTGGGATAGGAAAGGCATTTTGCTTACTGATTTCTTCCCAGAGGTGAAACCATTATGGGCAACGTTTTGTGAGACTTAACAAAAATAAGGCGGCCATTCAAAACAACGAAGAGGAGGCTCATAAAGGAATTGTGCTGCTCCATGACAAATGCTCGGCCCCATACTGCTGCGTCACTCAATCGTTATTCGACAGTTTCATTGGGAGCAGTTCGATCACCGCCTACAGCCCAGCTTGCGCCGTCTGACTATCACTTGTTCTGCACATGAAGCACCACTTGGTGGCAAGCGCTTCGGATCTGACAGACACAAAATGCTGTGGAGTCGGGTATCGAAACTGGCGGGAAGTTTTTCTTTGACCGGTATACAAAAACTGGTCACCCGCTATGACAAGTGTTTGATCATTGGCGAAACTATGTTGAAAATAGTTTAAGACATGTATTTTCATGTAAAAATAAATTGGATTCGAAAAAAATTGTTTATTTTTCTTTTTTCAAAACAATACTAGTTTCCGAATACACTCATATTTGAATGCCATTGAATTGCTGTGAATGCTGCAGAAATTATTTTTTTCTCAAACCTATTTTTAACATGGAAGTAGTAACTACATCTCCATTTACAGGTTCGTACACATTTCTGCACACGGAAATTAAGTACTTTTAAGGACCATTAATGAAAAATTAAGGACCTATAAAAGCAATGGGAAATAAATTAAAAAAGTATCTATGCCGAGTTCTTTTGTAATACCATCCTAAAAATAAAATAGATCCATAAGTAGATGAATTATTATTAA